ATAAGGACCCGTTTTGTGCAAGGTCAATAACAACTAAATCCTTTTCGAGGAGGACCACTACAGCATATGGTTCCTGAAAATCTGCAGAGAAATGAAAACAGGATGGGTAAAATCATGAATAAATCGCTACATATTTGAGTTTTTTATATATATATATATATATATATATGTATATATATATATATGCACACATATTTAAAAAAAAAATCTATAGTAGTATGATAATGATGATAAAGTAACACCTCAGTTTTATACCTCAAAATAACAAAACCACAAAATAATTTTAGTGGAACGCTTCTCGGCCACACATCTTTGTGTTTTGTTGGAAGTAACTAAAGGAAAAAGCTTCCCACTTGAGCAGACCTCACGCCGTGTCACTGGAGTAATCTGAGTGTTTACTATGATGCAGGACGAGTTGGGCTCTCGGACGGAGTTCCTGCTGGAGAAGTGCTTTAAGGAGGAAATGGAGGAAATGGAGACGACCAAGAACGTCAACAGACTGCTGCTGCAGAACCTTCTGCCGGAGCACTTCTTCATCCAGAGTTAACACTATACTTTATTAACATCTCTGAATGGACACATGTAACACTATAATGCCACTGTATCATATTTGATACATAAAGGCCTCTATATTTGCTGTAAACCTGTTTCACACTCGATCTCCTCCATGCCTTCTTGATAGTTTAGAGTGTTTTATCCAGTCAGAGCTCTTTTAGTGTAACTGTAGCTGGGTCTTGACTGGTTTTGATCAAGTAAAGGTCAGAATAACTGCAGTAATATCTCCAGATGAACACTTACTGGACTGAAGCAGCTCAGCTTTACTTGATTCTCCATCAATCATGTTTTAGAGTCTCAAATCTGATCCTCAGGATCTTTTGAGGAGCGTTTGTTTCCAGAAGCTTTACTTTCACTGTTCCTCAGCGGAGGAATGATCTTCACAAGCCTCCAGAACATCTCACATCTTCTGAGGAGCCTTTATGTCTTCAGCTCTCAATCACTGCATTATATGTTTGGATCATTTCAATCTCATCTTACTGAGACAGATTACTGGAGATATAGAGTGATATTTAGATCATTTTATGTCAGAATCTGCTGCACTGTTATAAAGATCTGATTGATTTACAGCACAAGCATCAGAATTTCATCATAGAAATATCATTTGCTCAGTTTGAGTCTCTGGATAAAACTGAGCTTCTTATTCTCACTGTATCAGACTATATAAGCCATAAAAGCCTGATGATCAAATATGATGTGAGTTAGTTTTCTGTGATAGTACTAATGTGTGCGTGTGTGTGTGTGTGTGTGTGTGTGTGTGTGTGTGTGTGTGTGTGTGTTTCAGGACTTGTACAGTAAGTCATGCGAGTGTGTTTGCGTGATGTTCGCGTCCGTGCCGCATTTCTTCAAGGAGTTTTACAACGAGAGCAGCGTCAACAACGACGGCCTGGAGTGCCTTCGCTTCCTCAACGAGATCATTTCAGACTTTGACGAGGTGGATGTCCGTCCGATGTCTGTTTGTCCGTCTGCCTGTGGTCTTTTTAACCCACCTGCCTCGTAATGCTCTCTTACAGCTCCTCAACAAGCCCAAGTTCAGCGCCG